ATAGGTAACTGATATATCAATAATACTTTGTTCATTTTGTCCCAAAGTTTGAATATTTATTATATATTTTTTATATATTAATAATATATTCATTCGTCAAAATTTACACTTTGATCTCAAACTCGACTAATTATAATTTTTTTTCAACTATTAAATGGCAAATAATGCTCAAAGTGTAGTCTGGGAAATGGATTTTGTGGGGTAGTTTTTCTGCAAGTTGTTATATAACTTTGGGAAAAACACAATTTTTGCAAAATTGTTTACATAGGGTGAAAGAAGATACAATTTACTAAATTTTTTGTTAATGACTATTTTTACGTATTTTGCTTCGTATTGGAGCTACAAGCCTTTGAATTCTAAATACATATATGATAATGATCATATCGTTTTATATAGGTGACTTATATATTATTAATATATTGTTTATTTTATCCCAAAGTTTAAACATTTGCTTTATATATTTATATATTAATAATTATTATTTACTTCCTACAAATATATTTAACACTTAAATTAGATTTTTCTCATTTTTTTACTCAACTCTCCACCGGATTCACAAATTAAATTAATATTTTTTTATTACAAACAAAACATTTTTATACTTATTCTAAGGTCTATTTTCATTAATTTTTTGCTTCTTGATGATAAAAAAGTATTACATCTTTTTTTATTTCCATAAATATTTTTGTAATTTTGGATTAAAAATTCAAAAAATTACCCAGGCTAAGCACAGTCTAAGCGCCACTCGGGACAAATGTTTACCCAATTGCGTTAGACTGTTTATGTATTGGATTATGTTAATGTTCTGGGATAAATGAATTTATGATTTATGATTTACATTTGATTTGCTCAGATATAACAAGATAGCAAAAATAATGAAAGTTACAGTATTTGTAATAATATATTTGAAAACGTTTTAAATTTATCGAACATTTCATTACGGTACGGGAAGTTCCAGCAATTTGCCTTAAGGCACGATGCTATACACCACTAGATATAAGTCAATTTATATTACAATTACAAAATACTAATAATTATCTTCTCTACCATTTAAAATAGAATTTCTTGTAGAAATTTCCCACAAATCAAATATCTCTCCACCTACGTTAAGAAATTTTCTGATCCAGAATTAGATGAAACTTTAGAAGATTTGTAGGAGTTTGTTAATATTAAAGTTTCATTCAATTTAATTTGAAATGCATTATTTTGCACTTGGTGTAAAACTCTACACGTGGATATCTAAAATAGATCAACGTTTATTATTGGTAGGAGGCTTGTGGAAAAAGTTGAGGAAAATTTAGTTTGAAATCGATTTAAATATTTATGATCAACTAATTTAATAAAAATTTGATATAATTATTTGTTTTTATTATTTTTAATACTGAATATTATTTAGTTATAATTTTGTTTCTCGGTCTTCAAGTTTAGTAAGTTTTTCCTTACAAAATTTTCCACTACATTATTCTATTATTTTAATCCAAATTATATAGGGCTTGAATAAAAAAGGTTCGGAAATGTCAAGAATCCAATTCACACATATATAAATATATATATATATATATATATATATATATATATATTACCTTAAGTAAAAGAATAAAATCCTTTTTCCTTAAAACATTTTTTGCGTAGGTTCTCAATTCGACAATTTCTCTTTGAAAAACAAGAAAAAAAGATATATTTAGACAGATGTATTTTTTTCTTGTCAATGAATTCGTTTTTTGATCTTTTAGTTAAAAAAGCACATATGTATATATGTATATATATTAGGGTGGTCCTTAAAATGGACATTTTCGAATTTCCTCGCTCCCAAGAGTTCAAATGGTTCCAAATGGATAAAAAACAATTCTCTGAAAGTTTTAGCTCTTAATATTATCGTTTAGATAGAGCGCAATTCAATCAAACTTCGTATGGAAATAGCATGGAAATTTTTTTAAAATTTAAAAAAATGTTTTTTTGGTGTAACTTAGCGACAAATGAATTAAAAATGAAAAGACGTGTCATTTTTCATTGAAAATTCGACGCTTTGCAAAATTTTTGAAAAATTTTCATGCTATTCCCATACAAAACTTTGATTGAATTGCGCTCTATCTAAAAGACAATATTAAGAGCTAAAACTTTCAGAGAATTGTTTTTTTTATCAATTTGGAATCATTTGAGCCCTTAGGAGCAAGGAAATTCGAAAATGTCCACATTAAGGACCACCCTAATACATATATAATATATATTACCACAAGATGACATTATTACACCCTCCAAAAATTTTACATCTTCGTTTCGGCAAAGATTTTTGCATAAAAACGTGTTCATAAAAATATTCGTCGTACGTATTTCTTTTACATAAAAAAATATGCAAATGTCCAAGAAAGATGAGTTTTATTACCGACAATATATTCGTTTTCAATAAGGAACGAGAATATTTTATATATAGTTAGAAAGCTGGTCGAAAAAATAGAGCAAAAAAAATTAAAATAAAAATTACGTAAAGCATAATTTATTTATTTAATTTTTAAAATTTAATTTAATTTATTTTAATTTATTTCAATTTATTTTAATTTAATTGACAGATAGTATCATGATAATGTTCTATACGATTTAATTTTATATTGTTTCCTATATACTTTTGATTTTAGCGTAAGTCCCATTTAAAACCGGTAGGCTAAATATGCACTCAACCTGGTTCTAGGCCTTGTTTTAGGTAAAAGTGCAAAAAAGCATACCGGTTATATATATTTAGTACGTTTTTAATTGTTATAGACAAAATTTTAATTTTTTTAATTTGTTTTTGGAAAGTTCAGTGCATTATTGTTTTATTCACGTTTTTTTGGAAGAAAGTTATGTTAAGATTGCTAGATATTAAACATAGAAATTTGATTATAAATATTTTCCACAGATTTTTTTAAAATAAGAAATAAAGTTATATTACACCATACGTCTTCATAGATCTCTGACAAAAAATCAGTAAACATTGGTAACGTTATTCATGTATTTAGTGATTTAAATTTAGTAATATTTCTTTGAAAAAAAAAATCAGTTAAAATTGATAATAATATTCAGTATTTAGAAGTTTAAATTTAGTAATATTTTTTTGAAAAAAAAAATCAGTAAAAATTGGTAACACTATTCATGTATTTAGAGATTTAAATTTAGCAAATAATTATTATTATTTTATATAAATAATAATCTTTAACACTAACTCTCTACAGAGAATTCAAATAATATCTACACGACTTTTTATATCCAACATACATTTTGCGGCTTTTTGCATCTTAAATATTTAATGGGCCATAATATATCATATTTTTATCAGACGAAAAAGTATTATAGACGACCCTTAGTATTAAAATCGATTTGTGTATGAATTATATGCACTACATATAACCTTACAATTTTTAGGATTTCTGGATTTTTTAACTTTCTTGATTTGTGATTTTCTGGATTTTGAACTTCTTGATTAATTTTTAACTTTCTTGATTTGTGATTTTCTGCATTTTTAACTTTCTTAATGTGTGATTTTCTGGATTTTTTATTTTCATGATTTGTGATTATCTGGGTTTTTAACTATCTTGATTTGTGATTTATTGGATTTTTAACTTTCTTGATTAGTATTTTCTAGATTTTTAACTTTTAAGCATATTTGCGTTTTGTGAATTTTTCCGTTACCTGGAAATTAGGCTTTCAGAAATTTTGTTCCTTTTGAAATTTTGGGCTTTTTTCCATTTTCTGGTTTTCACCATTTTAGCGTTTTCTGGGTTTAATACTTTCAAAATTTGTGACAAAAAAGTGTTACATACAACACTTTTTGTTCAGATATAATTTTGTGTGCGGATTCATTTGTATGTATTTCATTTTTGGAAAATAATGTTCGAAATTAATCCTTGCATTCGCAGATTATAAAATTCATAGAGGTTGTCACGCTATTGTTTTATAATCCTTGGCTTAAAATCTATAGTAAATGAAATACATGGTAATGATTTTGGTTTCGATAGAATGTATTAATAATTTATCTATCACACACACACACAACATATATATATATATATATATATATATATAATGACTAAACCGCATGTTTTGCGCAGTTTTAGCATGTTTATACAACTCCGTTCATTTTAAGAGTTTTAAATAGTTTAATGGTTTTTTTAAACTATTTTAACTATTCACGTCGCCGGTTTATTATTACATTTTTAAATACTCAAAACTGAAATTTAAACTAATTTAACTCAACTTAACAATCGTAGATTTTATAATTTTTTTTATACAAAATAACAGATTTTTGATTTACCTTAGATATCATAGATCTTATCATAGGAAGCAAATACCATCAAATATGGAAAAAGTAATAATAAATCCCTAAAGTAATTTAGGGAACTAATCCCTAAAAAATGTGGTGCAACTTATGTCTAAACCAAGTGATACCAAATATTGACCAAAAACCCTAAAAAATGTGAAGAAACTCATCTCTAAACAAAGTGATTCCAAATAATGACCTAAAACCTTAAAATTATAAATCCTCAGACATGTGGTGCAACTTATCACTAAATAAGTTTTATGTGAAATCCAAAAACACGTGAAGCCAAGTGAAATAAATGAAAATTAACCTAGTGAAACCAATTGATGACCCCAAACCCTAAAAAATGTGAAGCAACTTATCTCTGACCAAAATTGGAATAAAATCCAAAGACACGTAGAATCTTAAAATATGTGGAGTAACTTTTTTTTGACGCAGAATTCCGAAAGATGACTTAAAAAAAGTGAAATGAATGACGAAACAAACTCCAGAAAATTTGGAGCAAGTCATCCTTAACCTAGTGACACCAAATGATAAAATAAATTTCTAAAAATTATGAAACAAGACATCACTAACCAAGTGATAACTAATTTGGGTGGAGCACCTCATCACTAACCAAATGTAAAAAATGACCAAATAAACCCCAAAAAATGTGGAGCAAGCCATCCCCAATCCACTGACCATTATACTATGACCTACCCTTTATAAAATGTGGAACACCTCAACCCTAACCCCCAACGACACCATAATAACCACCAACCAAACAGTGGCGTCCATATACTCCTCCACCGTACAGCCTTCGATATCTGACGAAGACGGAGTCTGGGGCCCGAAACGTGACGCTCTTTACATTGTCATACCCCTAACCATCATTTATGGGGCTATTTTGGTGGTTGGTTCCATAGGAAATGTCAGTACATGTGTTGTGATAGCCAGAAATAAATCGATGCACACCGCCACAAATTATTATTTGTTCAGTTTGGCGGTTTCTGATCTTTTGCTCCTGATGGCGGGGTTGCCGTATGAGATGTACGCCCTTTGGTACAAGTACCCTTATTTGTTTGGAGAGGCTTTTTGCGTTATGCAGGTAAAAATAATAATGATAATAGTAATTAGATTGATGTTGTTGCTGTAGTGTTTCTTAGGAAATATTGTAAATTTTATCTAGTTTCACCCTATATAACTAAAAAGGGGTGGTTCTATATGAAATTTCTGAGTTTCTTGACAAAAACCAAAAAAATGTCCCGAATTTTCTATATTTATTGCTAAAGAATGAAATATCGATTTCATAGTCGTTTTATTCAAAACTTTTATATCGGAGTGTATAAAAGTGTTCCCTGGGAAATGTTATAAATTTTATCCACTTTCTGCTGTACTAATGAAAAATTGTATTTCTAATACAAAATTTTAGATATATTTGAAAAAAATGTCCCGAATTTTCCATTGCATTTATCAAAATTTCGATTTCAAAGTTGTTTTAAAAATAATAATATATTCTAGTCAAACTTGTGAAAATTGGAAATCGAGGGTATTACTATTCGATGGCAAATTAAAAATGTTATTAGAACAACTTTTTGAATCACCAAAATATCTGTAATAGTTTTTACAAAATTGCATTTTTACACTTTGCGAATTTTATAAGTTGTAAAAAATCAATATAGATTCTGCGAAATCGAAATGTTTAAAAATGCAATATCTCGAGAACGCTTTGAGATATTTTAGAAATTCAAAAAGTCCGTTATATAATACTTTCAATATGCCATCGAACTGTGTTAATCACGATTTGCTGTTTTAACTCTTTCATTAAAAATGTAACATTAATTTGCATACTTATATAGAAAGCATCAAATAACACAATCGGTAATGAAAAAATTAGAAGAAAAAATCGAATTCAGAGTCGTTTTATTCAAAACTTTTATATCGGAGTGTATAAAAGTGTTCCTTAGGAAATGTTGTAAATTTTATTTAGTTTCACTCTATCTAACTGAAAAGAAAATAGAAAATTCGGTACATTTTTTGGTTTTTGTCAAACAACTCAAAAATTTCTTATGGAACCACCCCTTTTTAGTTAGATGGGATGAAACTAGATAAAATTTACTACAGTTATATACACTCCTATACATTCCATGATTACAATTTTTTATCAACATTGAAATATTGTTGTTTTATACAAAGCAATGTTTTATATAACGAACTCTTATTATTCCCTTTAATTTTGTATTCCTAGAGACGAATCGAATTACGATTCGAAACGTGTATCATGATCTATCTGTTTATTCGATTCGGACAACAAACGATACAATTCTTTGTGTTTACCTTTGAAGTAGTAACTATATAGAGCTTTCATTCTAATTAATGTTTGACAAAGCTCGAAAGCTCCATAGAGAAATTCCCAGAACAGAGTACTGACATTTCAATACAACAACGGTAGAGGAACGTTTTCTGTTCATAAATAATTCATTATTTTCTGTTTATCTTTTGAAATTAAATTAAATATATATTATTATTATAAGACATAGCTGTATTTATTTATATAAAGCAATGTTTTGGTTTGAAAATAGCCTGTGAGTTGGGATAATGCTAAATGGCAATGACAAGTTGCATAAATATCAAGAATGATCCAGAATTTGCTAAAATTTTCAAATATATAAAAAGAGTGCGCGTAAGGTTCATACCCAATAGAAGTAAAACTTATTTTGCTACTGTACAGGATAGCATTCAAGTAAAAATAAATACATCGTATAACAATTTTCAATAATGTTTATTACTAATATGGTAAAACGTGTGATGCACACATTTATTACTGTCGACCATTATACACATTTATATAATGATAAATTATAAACTATATATTTATGATGGCATTAAAAATATGTATGATATTTAACAATAATAATGTAATTCAAGTCATACTTCAAATATGACATGATCGGTTTGTCATTGTAATTAGCATTTAGAAATGGAACTTTATTTAGAGAAATGAACTAATTGCTGATTAATAAATTCTATTATAAGTGGATTATGTTAAACAACGCCTAAACAAATATTGTTTTCGCAACTTCACTCATCATGTAATAATTGTGTTTGAAGAACTTCATGTAATTAAAATTAACATACATTCATTGACTGCTTGTATTTTTTTTACTTTTTTGCTGGCGATATAATATCATTCTTTGAACAGCTGTAATATCTGTCTTGCGTAAAAAATATTTTCTACTTTAATAACTTCAAAGATTTATAAAAACTACGAATAATATAGAAATAATTCTTAAAGAACAGGATAAAATATTCTTTTGATTCAGGCATTTTTTTATTAAATCAAGATATGTACTACGATGCAATTTTAAAATGTTTATCCCGAATTTTCTATATTTATTATAGAAATATATTATTGCTAAATGAATCATGCTGTTGGCATGATATTGTAGTAAATTTAATCTAGTTTTACCCTGTATAACTAAAAAAGAGTGCTTTTGTATGAAATTTTTGAGTTATTTGACAAAAACCAAAAAATGTCCCGAATTTTCTCTATTTATTGCTCAGGAATGAAATATCGAATTCAAAGTCGTTTTATTCAAAACTTTTATATCGGAGTGTATAAAAGTGTTTTCTAGGAAATGTTGTAAATTTTATCTAGTTTCACCCTATATAAATGAAAAAGGGTATAAAGTTTGTGAGTTATTTAACAAAAACCAAAAAAATGTCTTGAATTATCTGTTTATTGCTACTGAAGAATGAAGTATCAAATTCAAAATCGTTTTATTCTTAAAACTTTTATATAGAGTGTATGAAAGTGTTTTCAAGGAAATGTAGTAAATTTTATTTAGTTTTACTTTGTCTAACTGATAAAGTGTGTTTTTATATAAAATTTGTGAATAATTTGACAAAAACCTAAAAAAATGTCCCGAATTTTCTATAGAAAAATTACTAAATTGTATACATTTCTTAGGAAAGTTTTCTTTTTTTTATATTAATTGATTAAATCATTAGTAAGTAGTTTTCTATATTTGGTTCTATCAAATCTAAATATAAATGAAAATGATCAGTATGGTTTAGTATAATCTGCAATTAATTGGTGATCTGGATTTCATATCATTTAAATGCACCTGGGGATTTAGTTGCATAGTAATTATCCTGCAGGAAGGATTTGCTGAATTGCAACTGCGGATTTTGGATTTTGATTTGAAAGATATCAGTTTGATATCCATTAGTGTTATTTCTACAGTTTTATATAATTATAACTGAATATACTTTATCATATAGTTGCATAAAAAAGTTGAATAAAAAATTCTGGTACAAAAGTTTTTTATCACAAATCGGGGCTTCCACAAAGACGCTTTGCAGAGTCAGCATTTATTATACTAAATAAAAACAGTATTAATAAACGTAATGATACTCTAGCTTTCGATGCAAACTATCAATATGCACTTGTTAATATTTATAAATTTTTGCCAAAAAATCTTATATTACTTGCTACAGAAAATTTACAACTTGTCATGTGTATTTTTTTTAATTACTATATTTGTTACAACTGCTAACTAAATTTAACATCTAGTAACAAAAATAAAAATGAACAATAATAAAAAAATATAATTTTTTTATTATTAGTTATCTACTGTAATTTAACGTGTTTTTTTTCTTTTTCAGGGCCTTGCAGCAGAGACTTCAGCAAATGCAACAGTCTTAACAATAACAGCCTTTACAATTGAAAGATATGTAGCCATATGTCATCCTTTTTTATCACACACTATGTCGAAATTATCCAGGGCAGTCAAATACATTATTGCCATATGGTTACTAGCTCTCTGTCTAGCCATACCGCAGGTAATAATAATAATAGCTATATATATACATATATATATATATATATATATATATATATATATATATATATTATTTACATGTGCAAGTATTTTTAATGAATAAGTTTTAACACTAACGCTTGTACTAATTTTTTACATCTAAAAAATCTCATACACAACAACAATTTGCAAGGGCAAAAATGTTTAATATTGAATTCATTTTGCAAAAGTTTTTGATACTAAAATATTATTTATTTTTGCCAAAATGACAATGTACAACCTTTGTTCATGTTTCGACATTTTTATTTTGTAGAATTTAACCATTTTTTGGTATTTATTTAAATAATTGTGCACAAACCACCATGAGATAAAAATTAGTAAAAAACACATTTGTCTAAGCACAAATTATTTAATTCTACACAAATTCAAGATCATAATTTACCCCTTTTTTGCTAAACTGACTACATACCACCTTTGTTTATGATTCGGCATTTTTATTTTGTTGAATTTAACAATTTTGTTGGATTTATTTAAATAATTGTGCAGTCTTAAAACAAAGCAAAAACTAGGAAAAATATATAATGAAAAAGTTGGTTTTTAATACCATTTTAATATACGTGACATTTTACTGTTTTTCTTATATTATTTTTATTATTCAGAAATTTTATTTATTAATTTTATTATTATTATTATTAAATGAACATACTAGGGATATCATTTTAATAGAAATTCCTTCCATTATTTTGTACTCTTTTTATTTAAATTTATGTTATTGTTCATTCTTGTTAACACCACGAGATAAAAATTAGAAAATAAAACATTTGTCTAAGCACTAAATATTTAATTCTACACAAAATTAGAATCATAATTTACACTTTTTTTGCAAAAACAACAACATACGACCTTTGTTTATGATTCGGCATTTTTATTTTGTAGAATTTAACAATTTTTCTGGATTTATTTAAATAATTATGCACAAACTACCAAAAGATAAAAATTAGTAAGAAACACATTTGTCTAGGCACAAAATATTCAATTCTTCACAAATCGAAAATCAAAATTTACACTTTTTGGCAAAAACAACAACACACGACCTTTGTTCATGATTTGGCATTTTTATTCTGTTGAATTTATTACATTTTTGGTTTTTATTTAAATAATTGTGCACAAGCCACTATAAGATAAAAATTGTAAATTGTAATATATATATATATATATATATATCACACTTTTAATTTTTACGATACAAAATTTATTTATCGAAGACGCTTTGCAGAGTCAGCTTTCATTCTACTAAATAAAAACAGTATTAATAAACGTAAAGATACTCTAGCTTTTGATGCAAAAAATATCAATATGCACTTATTAATATTTATAATTTTTTTTCGAAAAACTTTATATTACTTACTACGGAAAATTTACAACTTATTACGTGTATTTTTTTAATTACTATATTTGTTACAACTGCTAAATAATTTAACATCTAGTAATAATAATGAACAATAGCATAAATTTAAATAAAAAGAGTACAAAATAAAGGATAGAATTTCCATCAAAATGATATCCATAGTATGTTGATTTAATTTAAAATAAAAGCAAATAATAATAATAGTAGAATGAATAAATAAAATAAATAAAATTTCTGAATAATAAAAATAATACTAGAAAAACAATAAAGTGTCTCAAAATGATATCAAAAACCTACTTTATCATTATGTAATTTGCCTACTTTTGGCTTTGTTTCAAGACTGAGTTTTAAATAATTTTAATTAAACATAGTCACGAATTATAAAAACTAAGTTTTGAATGATTGTAATTAAATTTGGTCACGAATGCTTCAAAAACTTTGTATAAAACTGACATGCAAACTTAGGAGAACAATTTATGAGGGGTAATAATTTTACTAAGTCGTTTTATTCAAAACTTTTATATCGGAATGTATAAAAGTGTTTACTAAAAAATGTTGCAAATTTTATCTAGTTTTACCCTATCTTATTTAAAAAGGGTGGTTCCATATGAAATTTTTGAGTTATTTGACAACAACCAAAAAAAAATGTCACAAATTATCTATATATATATATATATTGCTTAAGAATGAAATATCGAATTCAAAGTCGTTTTATTCAAAACTTTTATATCGGAGTTTATAAAAGTGCTTCCGAGAAAATATTGTACATTATATCTAGTTTTACTCTATCTAACTGAAAAGAGGTAGTTTCGTATGAAATTTTTGAGTTATTTGACAAAACCAATGTCCCGAGTTTTCTATATTTATTACTTATATTTTATTTTATTTTGCCTATATAGGTTATAGGTTATTTACGATCGAAGCATTTGATTTGCCAAAATAAATGTTTGAGACTAGAGTTTGTAAGGTTTGTTTCTAAATTAAGCTTTTTGTAAATTATAGAACACAAAAGCCACAATTATATAATATACCAACAACAAATTTCTCTATTGCAATCACAAATCTTGAACAAAAACTTAACAAATAAATTTGGTATAAAATGTCCAGGTTGAATTTCAGTCTCGATATATATATATATATATATATATATATATATATATATGTATATATATATATATATATATATATATATACATCTATTTCTGTATCAATCCAAGTGAATTTTATTTCTGTACAATAACTCACCCTTCAAGGACATCTCTAATACTTTTCTTATGATACAAAAATTTTCATGAATCTTTTTCGCCTTTAGAAGAATATTTTTCCCTCATGTTAAATATTCTGGGTGTTGACTTTAATTTTCATTTCGAGTCCTTAAAGTCATGACCGAACATAAATCGAGGAGATTAGATGCTAAATTTATAAACACTTTGATGTAAAAGACATATGAAATACTGTGGAAAATTTTGTCAGGGACAGAAAGAATTATTTTATTAACTAAATGTTCTAGAATCTTTCTTTGAATCTATTATTTCTCCATTACAAGTTCTGAACTGCAAATTGATTTACTCCTACAACTGTGTTCTATTATTATCTCGACAATTTGCACAGTTTTCTCTTACAAAGTATTTTAAAAAGCACAATTTAAATGTGCAAAAAATGCAAACATAAAGCAAATTGCAGTGTGAAAAAGTTTTTTTTGACACGGTTTGAGGAATATCAATCGATGGCAAAAAATATTTCACGGTGGAGCAAAACGTGGAAATAGGGAAATAGATTTAAAAAAATATATATATGGTATTACACTAAAGTTGCAATTAATATTACAAAGTCTCAAATATTTAAAAATATTTTTTATTAATAATCTCCACAGTATTTTTTCTCAAATTTTCTACATATGCCTTTTATTTTTTTCCTACACGTGCCAAGTAAAACACCTTATTCACCTATATATAAATTACTCAAAAAGATTTATTCCGGACTTTTTTCCGGCAGCCACTATTTTTCATCCGGCATTGTATCACTTAGGTACAAATGAGGTGAGAAGGTTTTTTTTTTGGAAAAACTTCAGTAAATCACTCGAGAACAAATTGAGGATTTAATAGAAGAAAAGTTTTGTATAAAAAATAAGTAGAGTTTGAAATTTCCCGGGAAAAAATTATTTCTGCACTTTTGTCTATTTTTTTTAATGTAGTTATCATAATTTTATATACAACATTTATATAAACAATTGGGTAATAGAACTCCTAAAACAAAAATGAAAAAACATAAAACAAATTATATAAGAAACCAATTTAAATAGTGACAGGTGTATACTTTGTATAAAAATTTAATCTATGTTTAGTAAAACTACTTTTATTTTATTTAAAAATAAAATTTTAAAGTAATTTTCTATGTAATTACAATGTGTTTTTAATCATGTAAAAGACAAATTGTAAGATTAAACAAGAAAATACTTTGGAGACATTTTAATGAACTATTTCTCTAGAGAGAGTAAATTGTGTAATTTGAATTGTAATATTTATTTTTATTTATTTGTAATTGTTTTTCAGACCCAGTTTTTAAGATTAAAAAAACTGGTAGTATATAGAAATTAATTGAAAGTTCATTATTTGATATAATTAATTTTTGGGTAATAAAACTTAGTTTGCAAATCATTTTACTCAGTAATCAATGTAAAAGGTACAAAGTTTTTTTTACAAAACAGTTAAATTTAATAAATTCAAAAAATGCTATTGGAAATAAAAGTATAAAAAATTGAACTAATTACAAACAAAATAACATTATTTTAGCTTTCAATATTACATTTTTTGTTTTAAAAAATCAAATAAAAATTTTTTTACATTAAAAATAAAAAATAAAATTAAATACTTGTATATTTTGTAAATGGTATTTTGTAGTGTATGGACAACGTGTATTTTTCACAATTTATATATTATTTATTAATAAATTTAAAAAAATGCTATTTTTTGACATCCCATGTGCATAAAACTGCCTAATGGCAAGTTGCTGTTTGTCATAGTTAATTTTTCGGAATTTAAACAAAAAACTTGCGATTTAAAGAAATTAATTAGTTGAAATAGTTTTATGAGATGAAAAAATTTTTTATATATTTTATAATTGCTTTTATCAGATTTTAGTAAATTTTATCTAGTTTTTATCAATGTAAATAAATTATAACGTATCAAAAAAAAAATAAGTTATTTGAACAAATATAGAAAAATATCCGACATCCATATATTGCAAATTATGAAAATACTAAAGTTCGCATTTCAACTACGAAATATTTAAAAACGTTATATGCAAATAGAATTAATTTTTGACACTATATTTTAGTAAATTTTATCTAATTTTTACTAATGTATATACATTTTAATGTTCCAGAAGAAAATTAAAAGTTATTTGAAAAAAGTAGAAAAATATTTCTAAATAATAAAATAAACAAATAAACAAAAAATACTATAGTTTGCAATTCAACTACGAATTCTACTAAATATTAATATCCAAGAGTGTATGACAAATTATACTAGATTTCAATAAATTTTATTGTTTGTTAAGCTTTTAAATTGCTATCATTTGATGCCACATGTGCATAAAAATGCCCATTGGCAAGTTGCTGTTTTCTATATATTTTGCGAAATTTAAAAAAACTTGCAAATCAAACAAAGTAATTAATTTCAATAAATTTTATTACTATTAATTTTGTTAAGCTTCTAAAATTATATTTTTTCATACCCCATATGCATAAAACTGCCTATTGGCAAGTTGCTATTTAACATATTATCAGAAATTTAAAAAAAATATAATTAATGAAATGTGTGAAGCAAAATATGTCTTTCATCAAATTACCTAAAAATCTGTAAAAGAAAATACTTATATTGTAAAAATACTCAATAATAATAATAATAATGATAATAATAATAATAATACTAATAATAATAATAATAATAATAATAATAATAATAGGCACTTAAATTTGTTAAAATATCAAAAAATAACCTAAAATGTGTTAAATAAAATAATTATATTGTAAAGGTATTGTAAAGATTATTAAAATACTTATTAAATTGTTAAAAAATACTTGCAACGAACTAGTTATATTTAAAAATAGGTAAAACTAACTAAAGGTAAATAAGTTTATAGTAAATAAATTAAATAATAAATAAGTAATAAAATAGCTAATAGTTAATTAAATTATATTAAATCTGCAAAACATTGACTTGAGGCTTATTATAATAATATTATACCGACGGCTTGTAAATAAATCATTAAATAAGTATTAAATATGGAGTACCCCAAGGAATAGTTCTGGGACCATTAGTAGCAATGATCAAAGTTAAAAAAAAAACAATTCAAACCTTTTTAATAGTTTTCAAATTGATATTGAAAATATTGACTTGGGCCTTATTATAATATTATTATACCGACAGCTTGTAAAATAAATATATAAATATATATATATATATATATATATATATATATACAAATAAGTCTACTATAATTTTATTATGTGTTCATGCAATCACAAAATCTAGAACAACTCCACGTATATAAATTATTTACTTAAATAATCGATTTTCGATTGGGTGAGTTGCATTTTTGAATAAAAACAGTAGAATTTTTTTCCAAATAATACATTCGTTATTCAAGTTGCTTATCTATATCTTCATCGTGAGAAAAATTTACTTCTACCGTATTAAATTTTAATGAAATTATGACTTGGCGAATACAAAGTTCTTCTGGTCGATTGCATTCTAAAGAAAAGTTTAATAAAATATAGTTTTTGTAATTTATCTAGTGTGTAATTTATCTAGTTTATTTATTTCAAAATTATATATTTGTTATTCAAGTTGTTTTTCTATATCTTCGTTGTGAGAAAAATTTACTTCGTATTAAATTTTAATGAAATTATGACTTGGCGAAACGAAAGTTCTTCTGGTCGATTGCATTCTAGAGAAAGTTTAATAAAAATATAGTTTTTGTAATTTATTTAGCCTCTGTAATGAATCTTTGCAGCTGCATTGAATAAATAAAAAGTTTGAAGTAAATAGAACAAAAATCGGTAGTCGGATCGGATT